CTCACTCGGGAAAAAGAACAGAGGAAATGAGAAAAACGAGACGAATACACGTTCGGACGTGGCGATAGAAGAATAGATTACGCATCTTTATGAGGTTGTCGTTATCAGTCAGAAAGAGTCAAGTAGCTCGGCTTGAATCATATCGTTCTTTCTCTAAAGCAGCGAATTGGAAAGAGATGCCGATATAATACAATTTCCATCAGAAAACTATTTGGACAATAGTTCAAATTTAGAACATAAGATAAGAATCGTTTAAAAGGAATCTTAAAGATACTTGCAAAAACTGTCGAAAACCCGTCTAAAAGATGTCATTTGAAAAAACTCAAGAAATGCATCGTCAATCACTATTAAATATTAAAGGATCAAATTTAGATCGATTCTTGAACTTAAATAATATTTTATAATTTTTAACATTTTTTGTGTCAAAGAGTGTATTATTTTAATACAAAACATTTTAAAAAACTGCCACATCTAGTATGCTTTCCAACAAACGACACAGTACAATACAATGATCCTCTCATTCTTGTTTAACATTGACGAACAACAAAGACGTACTGATACATTGTGTCACACCGTGTCATCTGTGTGGCTTGTTGGAAGACACTCTAATCAACTCATTTCTTTTGAGTTGCTGCTTATTGTTATATACTTTCAAAGTAAACAGCATAGCCATATCAACATATGTACTTATCATATAGTAAATATAGTAAACTAAATTTGAGTCAAATTTAATACATTTCTTAAGTTAAATTATTTAACTCTATTGTTTTAATTAAATTAACAACATGTAGTAGCGGCGATCTATAAGAATAATTAAAAATAATTCCAATTACAATTTAATATTATGAATTTAACATTATATACCTATATTAGGTACGTCTATGTATGCAATTGTCATTGTGTCTTGTAGCGGCATCGCAATTACGAAGTGAATTCAAGCGAACACAAACATATAGAACTCTCAGATCTAGTCGTCGATGGAGTTGGGAACAACAGTCCTGCACGCGATCACCTTGGATTGGGGAGGTTTGTGTTCCGGAAGACGATGAATTAGCTCCCATCGTCACGTATTAACCGACTCCAGCGGCTCTCTACGGACCAGTTGACGTTTGGTCATTGAGCGGACAGCATCGTCGTCGTCGCCGTCGATTTTTTTTCTTTCATTGTCAAAGCAAACGCCTTTCACGCTCGCTCCGAACCGTGATTTAACGTTGTGTCGTGACACCGGACTTTCGTGAGTGCGTCATTGAGAATCGATGACTTTTTCTGATTCAAAAACAATTTGCCTACAGATCACACTACAAAATTCACAGATCGCCCTGTATAAACAGTTCTCTTTCGAATGTGAACACAAAGTTCTTTGTGCAGTACTTGCGTTACATTTCATCAGTGTTAGCATCGTGTTTTTCTCTTCTCCTCTTTGCGGTTTTTATTAAATTTAATAAACAAAATGACCTCACGATCTCCTCGTGATTTAAAATTTCTTCAAGCTCTTTCTCGCAGTTTTCTGTAAAAAATACGAATGCTAACGAAGTCGAAAGTGTATTTGTGACAGCGTTACCAACAGCGCACTAAACAATAATTTTCTTTATCGTGAAGTGTCTTTATTACTAAATCCGTTATAGACAATCTGTGATTCAAGCCGGATTTCTGAACGAAATTTTATTTTAATTTACAACTTTATATGTAAAATAAAAATAAAATAATGTTATGTCGTACTATTGTGAGTTTAATAATAATTATACAAAGTGATTTTTAACTGAATATTTATATATCTTATAGGACTGAATATGCAAAATATCTAAAAGAAAAAAGAATTCCTACGAACGTGTAGGACAGTCGAGCTTTATTTTTGTTTTTGTAATATGTGTATTTTGAGCTAAATTCGATATATTGATTAATATCGTCTTTTTATTATGTTATATTTATTTGTTACTCGAAATTCGGAATTTCTTTTAGATTTCTAAAATTTTGTCTCAATGTATTTAGCGGTTCTATTGCTTCTATATTGTAGATATGTTCTTTGTGGCTGAACTAGTGTGCACATAAAAGAAACAGTTATATACCTATATGTGTATTTGAAGTTTATGGAAGCGAGATAGAAAGTTCCAGTGAGCAACAAAGAACAGGCCTTGTTATTAGATAACGTAAATACAAATCAACCGCAGGATATACTGATGATTAGTTGATATTCCGCGAAAAAAAATGTGGCTAAAGGATGTGAACGACGACATCTCGTCAATTGCAACAGTTTTTGTGAATTCGCGACAGTGCGTTCAAAATGAGTAAGTCAATTGTCCTCCAGTTTATTCGTACAGATTTCTAAAAATTTGAAAAATTATACACGAAGAGAAAATCCGCCTGACGTAGAAACGGAAAAAAAAGGAAAAAGTCAAATGGCTAATATGAATCTGATGCGAAGCAACGCAAAGCGGAAGTGTAATTGTAGGTGTGAATGTTCTAATCCACGCCGGAAGAATGATATGTACAATTTATGAAGCAAAAATATTTATGTCTCTTCAGATTATCATTAACTTAGGTAAAATGATTTGGGACAGTAAAATAATGTAAAGTGATTTTAAGAAGCTGTTTATATTTTCAAAATTTTTGAAAATTATTTTTTCTGTATTTTTCTTCTAAATTGTTAGGTTGGAACAAAAGGTGGTAGTGTGTATACGAATTTTAAAATTTTTCAAGCTTGCTTTGTTAAAAATGAATAAAATTTAAATTTAAAGAAAAAGTTTTAAAACATAAAATCTCTACTTTCGAAAGGTCGCTATGTCTTTCGAGTTTCTATGAGTTCGGTAATTTTTTACCTATATAGAAAAGTACGCCGAACAGAGTGGGAATTTTTTTCTCACTTTGTGAGAAGTGTCATGTGTTCGAAGAAACTTACGAAAATTTCCAACTTTCTGACGCTTAAAAGTTTAAAGTTTTCCCTACATATAATTTTTAATAAAATTACTCCTAAGATTTTTTATTACTGAGTTATCGCAAAAAGGAGTATTTTAAATTGTTCATGGTTTCGTTAAAAATCATACCGCGATTAAAAACAGATTCTTAGGCCGTTACACAAAATGACATAAGCTGTATAGAGCTATTGGACCAATGAGTATTCGATATAAAAAACGCCATGTTATATTGATTTATACATATATAAGCATAAGATATAAATATAAAAACTCTATACTATGCACATGTCGCTCTTTTGATTTCTTGATTGAAATATTCAGCTTATATATACGTCGTGGTTATATTTATGACTTCTCTTGTTGTCAAACATTAAAATTTTTCTTACCGTATCAATAACGATAAAAGAAATCAAGGAATTTTAAAGTTTTCTTATGATTAAAATTAGGAAATAGAGGAATTAAATGTTCGTGCTGGATTCGCACTTTATGTTTGATTGCAATTAGTGCTGTAAAAAAATCGCTGTGAATTGCGTCTGCTGACTCAACAATTCTGATATATTCGAAAGTTCGACCGAGAGCAAGGCTCGACTTCAAATGTATAATTTACAACACGAATGCCTCGAGCGATGATAAGTAACCTTTGTGGCGTTTCGAGATAATTAATTCGATCACACAATGTATCGAGAACAAATCGCTACATGTGCACGAGCTTGCACAGAGGCATCCTTTTGAGAAAGATATATTTGACCTTATTATAAATTTAGTTTGACGCATTAAACGGAATTTACGCTAATTGTAAGTTAAATTGCCGAGATGGTTAAAAAGTATAAAATAAAAAATTAATATTAAATTAAAACTAATAAGTAAAATTTGTTGTGATTTAAAGATGTATGAGTCACATTTCAAAAAATTATCAAAAATATAAAAATTTCAAAGATTACTTCATTATTATATCTGAATATCTGTGTAAAATTTGAGCACAATTCTTTTATTAGTTTAAGTTATTAAATTCTTTTGTTAGTCTTGATTTTTATGTAAAATCGCGTTTTGTAATATATAAAATACTTATTTAATGACACAATAACATTAAGAACTAAAATTAAATTTAAAATATATATTGATCAAACAATGATGAACATTCATACAAAAGTTTATTTGGATATTTATTTAAAAGTTATTGATCTAAAAACTCTCTCTTTCTCTCTCTCTCTCTCTCTCTCTCTCTCTCTCTCTCTCT